CCTGTTTTGAGAGATTCTAGCAAAGTAGGGAATCATCTGCTTCCTCTTTAAAAGAAAACACTCATCATAAGTAACCATTATAAAGCACTGCTATTCATTTCTACTTTGTAGTGAGCATCACACTTAACGGTTTCCATGACATATCTTTTTTTTTTCTTTTGAGACGGAGCCTCACTGTGTCACCCAGGCTGGAGTATGGGGGTGTGATCTCGGCTCACTGCAACCTCCACCTCCCAGGTTAAAGTGGTTCTCCTGCCTCAGCCTCCTGAATAGCTGGGATTACAGGTGCTTGCCACCAAGCCTGGCTAATCTTTGTATTTTTAGTAGAAACGGGGTTTCACCATGATGGCCAGGCTGGTCTCGAACTCCTGACCTCAGGTGATCCACCCGCCTTGGCCTCCCAAGGTGCTGAGATTACAGGCGTGAGCCACTGCGCCCGGTCTCCATGACATATCTTGATACATAAACAAGCTTGCTATCTGATTGTAGCCAATTTTATTTTGTAACTGAGAGAGAAAATATCATCAAACAGGTAGAAATAAATTGCTCCCACAATTAACTACCATTAACCAAAAATTCATCAAAATATTTCTGTTAGGGCTAGGCGTGGGGGCTCATGCCTATAATCCCAGCATTCTGGGAGGTGGGAGGATTGCTTGACACCAGGAGTTCAAAAGAAGCCTGGGCAACAAATCAAGACCCCATCTCTACAAAAATTAAAAAATTAGCCAATCAGGGTGGTGCCTATCTTGCCAGCTACTGGGGAGGCTGAGGTGAGAGGATTGCTTGAGCTCAGAAGGTTGAGGCTGCAGTGAGCTGTGATGGCACCACCGCACTCCAGCCTAGCTGACAGAGACGCTGTCTCTAAAACAAAACAAAACCTGTTGTTAGTGATGCCTTGCTAAGCAATGATGAATTCTTTATTTATAACATCCCGACTCTGCAGGTAGGAGCAAAAATTTTCTAAAAATATATGACAAAATTCACATCAGAAAGTTTTTCTTTGGTCTAGTAAAAAGACTAAATTCTTCAATTAGATTAACAATTTTATTTAATTAAAGTATTAATATTATAATTTCCAGCTGAGTTTTTCTTTGAGGTAGATATTTATTATAGTAATATAATACTATGAGCCCAAGTACTATGAAACCATTTTATCCCAGTCAGGTGGTTACATCAGTTTAAAAAAGACAAAATAAATTCTGGGTGGATAGGGGAATGGAAACACTTGTCTCTGTTGGCTGGACATACAACGGTTTAGCACTGTGGCAGACGGCAGGCACTCCCTCCGTAAGTTAAATGCAGAACTGCCATGTGAACCATCATTTCTACTTTCTACCCAAAAGACTTGAAAACAAGCGTTCAAACAAAAATTTACATCTGAATGTTTATAACAGCATTATTTACAATAGCCAAAAGATCCTAAGTGATGAATAAACAAAATATGGTCCTTCCCTACAATAGAATATTGTTCAGCCATAAAAAGGAACATAGCTCTGAAAATGCTGTAACATACATAAGCCTTGACAACATCACGCTAATTGAAGGAAGCCAGACACAGAACGATACCTCATGTATGACTACATTGATGCATCATCTCTGGTGTAGACATACATGAACATACGTACATGAACTTTGAAATCATCATGCCAGGTGAAGGAAGCCAGACACAGAAGGATACCTCGTGTGTGATTACATTGACAGGAAATGCCCAGAATAGGCAAATTTGTAGAGACAGGAGGTGGATGGATAGTTCTAGGGGTTGCGGTGAGGGGGAAATGGGAAATGGCAGCTTAACAGGTGCAGAGTTTTCTTTTGGGAATGAGGAGAATGTTCTGGAACTAGGCCGACATGGTGGTTGCCCAACACTGTGAATGTGCTAAATGCCACTGAATTGTTCACTTTAAAATGGATAAGATGGTAAATTTTATGTTATGTGTAGTCGTACAGTAATTCTTTTTTTTGAGACAGAGTCTTGCTGTGTAACCCAGGCTGGAGGGCAGTGGCACGATCTCGGCTCACTGCAACCTCCGCCTCCTGGGTTCAAGCGATTCTCCTTCCTCAGCCTCCCAAGTAGCTGGGAACACAGGCGCCTGCCACCACGCCCGGCTAATTTTTTTTTTCTTTTTTTTGTATTTTTAGTAGAGACGGAGTTTCACCATATTAGCCAGGATGGTCTCGATCTCCTGGCCTTGTGATGCACCCACCTCAGCCTCCCAAAGGGTTGGGATTACAGGCGTGAGCCACCGTGCCCAGCCGTCATACAATAATTTAAAAAATTATGTTGCTTGTGTTCTACGGATTTAATAATCAAACCATTAAACATAAAGTGTTCAGAGTGGAATCTCAACAAGGCCATTACACAGATAGGGCTCTGCTTAATTTTTAACTCAGCAAAGAATCATACAGAGTAAAAATACATTAAGGTGAGACATTTATCATCATCTGTAAATAAGGTTTCCAGGGGACAGTGTTGAAGCACCCTATTCCATTCTTTCAAAGCGATTAAAAAGTTGGAAAGTTGGAAACAGCATAATATTGAGGGTGTGTTTAATATTTTGATGTTTACAAAGAGGGGCATTTAATTCAGTCTAAGATGTGTCTGTATCAAGCATACATTGGCTTAGAGTGATATTGAGAACACACGGGGGCCATGACTATTTCTGAGTGCTCATTCTCTGGCGATTTTGTGCCTCTCGATAAAATGGACCTTATCAGATGCTCTTCGGGCTCTTCTTGGTAGTAAAGATCTTGAACCTGATTTAACATAAGATATCCAGAATAAGGAATAGCAAATCTGTGGAATAAGCCGCAACCCTGTAGGAGTTTTACTTCATAAGATGACTGCAGGTTTATTTTGAGTGATGATGTATGTGGGCCCTGTAATTTCATGCTAAGTCTTAATTGTTTCCTATGACTAAATAGTCTGCCATAGGCTAGACATAAACTTGGAATTTAATATTCTATTAAATCCAAGAGCTGCAGGTTTCAGAACTATCTGACCAGTGGCAAATGTGAAGTCTTTAAAAGAAGTCCACGCCAAGAATGGAGCCCACAAGGAGTTTGGAAAACTTAGCTTTCTTGGCATGTTCCATGATGGCTCAAATATTAGAACTAATTTATAGCTCCATCTGTACCTCATGGAGACCTCGCAAGCTGGAACTCATATCACTTTTCCTTTTTAGACAGTCAAAACCACAGGTTATACTAAAAAACGAGGACAGAAGTCCAGCAAAGCAGTGATTTCTCCTCAGCTAAAACACAGACTGCATTAAAACCACATGTTACTGAGTGCTGGCTGGCCAGGCCAGACTTTAGAATAAGGCTGAAGGCACGAAGCTGGGATGGATGGAGGAGCGTTTGCTCAGATGTGTAGGCCCTTAATGCTCCATGCAGCATGTGGCCGGTGGTTCTGCAAAAGCCAGAGAGGAGTCACATAAAGGCCCTGGAGCTTTGTCAGAGGCAGAGCCTGTAGGAGTCCACTGTGATGGGTGGAGCCCAGGGCTGGTAATCAGATCGCATTTTGCCATAGCCAGAACTTTAACCACTAGGGAGTCAAAAAGTCACCATCTGAAGACGGAAAGAACAACATTTGAAGAAGCGTCCTCGGAGTTGAGAGGGCCTTTGTGCTCTCTCAAGATGTAGGCACTTGTGATTTAAATCTGGAAATACTTTTAAAAAAGGAAAGCCATTTTTTCAAGTTTTAAAATTCAAATGAGCTATATTGTGTGATGATTCCAAGAAGTAAAGCGTGCATGTGTGTTCTGCTTCAGGGGCAGGCAGCCCATGGCAGCCAACGTGGCATCTTCTCCTGTGGTGGGAGGCTGTTCTTAGGATCTGCTTCCGGGGCAGGTGGCCCATGGCAGCCATCATGGCATCTTCTCTTGTGGTGGGAGGGTGTTCTTAGGATCTGCTTCCGGGGCAGGTGGCCCATGGCAGCCATCATGGCGTCTTCTCCTGTGGTGGGAGGCTGTTCTTAGGACAAGCCTTTTCCCCCTGGGGGCACCAAAAGGCGGGCCTGGTTGATGCTGGGCTCACAGCTTTTACTCCTTGAGCTGGAAGGCTGAGAGTAGCTTCAGTAAGCAACCAACTTTGTGGTCCTCATGTGTCTTAACCTGGCCCTGATTGTGCAGGTTAGCGAGAAACAAGGCCTGTTCGTGGCACACACGGATCCTGCATTAATGCTTTTCAAGTCTCTGGAAGTCTAAAGATTTTTCCAGTTTTGCTCTCCTTGGGGTGTCTTCTTAAGTAGTAGCAGCGACATTGCGCCTTCTGTGAAATCTCAGTGTTGTTGGGACGGTGGGATGTGGAGCATCTGGGGCAGAGGACGAGGCTTTCTAAGAAAACCCAACCCTTTTATCCACGTGACGGTTGGATTTCCATGTGAAGGTGGAAGAGGCAGGACGGGAAACAGAAAAGGGACGAGCCAAGTTCTCCTCTCAGGCTGGTCTCAGTGGGATGGCGCCCTGGGCTGCAGCTGTGGTTGGAAGTCCCACCCCATGCATCCTAAGACCCCCGCCCCTCAGTCAGTTCCCTTTGGTCTGTTTTTAACGGTGACATCTAGCCCTGCCCACCCTCTGCATCTGGACTTGATCCTGGTGTGTTCAGGTGGACGTCCTTAAATCTGAGGACAGCCTGCCTGCGTCCCACCGGACAGCTGGCATTTCCCCATTTTCAGGAAGCAGGGGCCACCTCTTCCCCAGGGATAAGCTATGAGGCCTTCCTGGGCCTCAGTGTTCTTACTCACTCAGTGTGGAGAATGGTCCTGCCCTTCCCGCCCCTGGGCCTTGCATCAGATAGGACCAGGACGGCGTGTGACAGGCATCTGCCCTTCTTCCGGGGCTCCCTTTGCTGAGAGCTGAGCTGCCTGCGAAGCCCCTTCCAGCCTCCAGGTCCTCAGCACTCCTGCCTGACTCATGCCTTCGCATTTTTCAACGTTCCTATCTGTTCCATCTTCTTCCCCTTGCATAACCGCTCCTCTGCCCTGTTCTTCCCTACAGACGTGTCCAGGTGTGTGGCCGAAAGGAAGTATACCCAGGAGCAAGCCCGGAAGGAGTTTCAGCAAGTGTTCATTCCTGAGTGCAATGACGACGGCACCTACAGTCAGGTTACCAGCCTTGCTTGGGAGGTTCTGCACCTGGGCAATTAGGGAGAGTGATGTGGAGTGGGTGTGGGGAGAAGGCAGGTGAGGGGGAGCCAAACAGAAGCAGCAGCAGGTTTGTTCTCTGGGGAAATCAGCCTTCTGCATTTTAGAAGTTAATTCATGATGAGCCTACTTGACATAAATAGACACATAAATGAAGTGTGTGTTTATTTCTTAGTTGGTGCAGGCATTTATATCATTGCTGCTGTCATTCACACTTTCATGACTATGAGTTTAGCACAGGAAGCTTCCTTAGTGAGGCCAATTAGACCATGCTAACCTGGCTTGCAGCTTACAATTTAATTTTAGTTTGATTTTAATTACGGGGAGCACACACTAAAAGTCGTGTCTGTGCCAAGAGTGAGCTCCGGGATCATTCATTCCAACCTGACGGGCCCACAGACATGGAGCTGAGCCAAGTCAAATTCCTGTTGTCAGCCAAAGGCACTGTTGAGAAAGTCACCCAGCTCTCCGTTTTGAGTGTGTCAGTGCTGTTATTCCTTATTAAGGAAAAACGAAGTACTAACATGCAATGCTAACTCACACAGGGGCAGAAAAAACAGCGTGGGTTCTGCACTTTGACATGCCTGTGGCCCATTGGGTGATGATGTGAGTTCTGTGTGTTTACATCATCATTTGGCCTTTGAGAGACAATGAGGGAGAGAACAAGAGAGAGACAGAAAGAGAGAGAGAGGAACTGGAGCTGAAGGAACTGGCTGCTCTGACTGTGGTTGCAAGGGGAGTGGGCGATGCAGGCTGCAGAGTGAACACTAAAGAGGCCGAGGTTGCTCTCCTGGCTCTGCAGTGGAGAGCTCCTGACCTTCCCGGGCCTCAGTTTCCCCATTCATAAGATAAGGGCTGGGGCTCCATCTGGAAGGTGGTGAGGATTAGTGACTTCACAGGTAATGTGTCCAGCACACACTAGCAGTCAGTCAAGTGCTGATTTGGGCCCCGTTTGTCTTTAAAACCCTGCGGTGAAGACTTGCACACTTTCTTTACCGAGGACTCCAATGCAGCCACAGAAGTAGCTCTGGGTATCCCACGACCCCTGCCTGAGCCAGTGCCGCAGAAAGCAGAGTGGGCCTCGCAGCCGTGAGGCGCTGTGCTGCGGGCCCGGGAGGGCTCACCTGTCCTGTGCTCTCTCGCAGGTCCAGTGTCACAGCTACACGGGATACTGCTGGTGCGTCACGCCCAACGGGAGGCCCATCAGCGGCACCGCCGTGGCCCACAAGACGCCCCGGTGCCCGGGTAGGTCTGACGTGCCTTTCCAAGTGGAAGGCTTTAAGGGAATTGGTTTGCTGTGTCTTCTAATCATCTTCCTTGGGTTCACTTATAATTCAAAGGGAAATCCAGTGTGGGTGACATCGTGAGCCACAGTGGGAATAGATCTCGTCACTGACAAAGCCTACGTTTTAGGGAACCCTTGTTTTTAAGAGGGGAAGGGCGAAGCTATGTGAATGTGTGCGTATGACTGGAGGTCAGCTTGCTGAAGGAAGACAGCCCTGCATCTGATCATGATGGGTTATGATGATTCAGGTCCCTTAATTGTTTAAAATAACCACAAGGACTTGGAGTCACCAGTGGAAATGACCAAATGTTTTCTTTGGCCAAAAAAGTGAAAATTGCTAGTTTTGTATGTACGTGTTTTCAAAGAAAAATGGTTCTTTCTTCATAAGTCAATTTCAAAATGGTTTGTATTATTTTATTACTCGTAAGAGGATTTGATGTACTAAAAGTAATAAAATTAGGAGTTTAAAAATCTGTAAAATATGCTCTTTCCCATTCTTTTTTTTTTTTTTGCCAACCATGCTGTAAATGATTTATATCATTTTTATTTGAAAATAATCTGCAGCCCAAGTTTGATTAATCTGTGGGGCAGACTTATCAGACCATCTACGAAGAAATGCTGTGATCTAGCCCTCCAGATTCCTGGATCATATGTGTTAAGACAGTCAGAACACATCATTATATAGCAATAATAAACTACAAAACGTCTCTCCCTGTTTGTCATGTACAATCTTGAAACATTTACATTTAGAGTTTACCTTTAGATTTTTTTCCTATTTAAGGGACAGGTATTTTTAAATCTGGAATTCTGTTTGTTATTCAGATATTTTTCAAGCTTCCTGAGCCATGGCCCTGGCCAGAACTCATTACCTCTGTGGGTTCCATGAGAACGAAGGTGTCCACAGTCAGCAATGACATAAGGTCTAATGTTTCCAGTGACTGGCCATGGGGATGCACAATGTGGAATTAAAATATGTTTATTTGTAAAAACTTCTTCTCCAGAGCCTAAATAGTGCTGGAAATATATCTTTAGTTGAGCTAACATGTATATCTAACAGTTCTGTTGCAAACTCATGGAGGAAATGAAACAGAAAAACATCACCAAGATTCACTGGGTCTGTGCGTGTCCCTCTTTCACTTTGAGAGACACTTGCATGTCCTATTTCCTTCATCCACAAGCAGCATTTTGAGGTGAGCCTTGTTTTACAAAGGAGAAAGCAGTAGGGGGTAGGGGCATCTATTTATGTTGTTTTAGTGATATCACCTGATAATTAAGGAGGGTCCCAAATAACTTTCTTAGAAAACATGTGCAAAATTGGCTGAATTTTGTACAATCTGCAAATAGTGGCTTCAGTGTACCGTTTACTCACGTTGTTGCTTCCAACTAGGTCTCAGTAACCTTTCACTGTATAGAAATATTCCTTTTGTTTTCACTGCCTATGTGGAATGTTTGGTCCAAGGAATGGACTGGGGAAGAGAGTAGACGGGCCTTTGTATATAGAAGTCTGGTGTTTAGTGGGTAGCACATGCGCTGGGCAGGAAGCCAGGCATGTGAGATGAAAAGCTTCAACGCTGAGGGGCAGTTTCCCTGGGGAGATGATGCTGTCTGGGAGGGGCAATGTTTCCACGTCGGGGCAGGGTTCCGCTGGCTGCACCCTTGGACCTGGCATAGCCAGCGTCGTTCTACCCCTGGTTCACCTGATCGGTGCAACTAGTATATTCCACAGGTCTACAGAGTTATGGAAAAACTCTCTTAATCCCCAGCTGTGTTCCAGGCTTCCCCTCCACACACATGTGGGCACGGGGGAGCCAGTGTCGTGCGGTGGTCACTTTGGAAGCTTTATGGAGTCATGGCAAATTATGGAGAGAATTTTGAAATTGAAGGGAGAATTATGGGGGAGAGAGGTGTTGGGTATACTTACCCCCCAAACACAAAGGATTTATCATCAGTGTTTGCATACTGCAATTTAACTTCTTCCTGGAAGTTAACAGAGCCCTCACAAATGATGCAGAGAAGCAGAAAAGTGGGCATCACCTGTGAGATCGTGGTCAATAGCGCGGACCACAGCTGGGCAGCGTCTTGATCTGTAGGCACCAGGGAGCTGACCCTCTGGGCACACCCTCGGGGGTTCACGGAGAAGTCAGCACATACACAGAATGGCTAATCTGCAGTATCCACTGTCTGTATGTGGCAGGAGTACTTTTCACCAAGTTTACTAAAATTGAGTAAATTTCAGTATTTAATAAATGTTTTTTGCCCTCAAGTTTATACCGAGGTTACCATAGAAGTAGACTCTATAAAAATTTGAAAATCAGACAACGAGATTTAAAATGAGCAGTAGATAGGAGCTGTTTTTCGGAAAGTGCATGTTTGTGTGTTCATGAATAATACATGCAAACGTACCTTGAGGCCAGCCACAGTGGAGGGAAATGGAGGTCCACTGACTGGCATGATTCCTGGAGAGTGGAGAAAGCCCTTGCCCCAAAGCCTCCCAGCTCTTCAATTGTCTCAGAATGATCTTTAATAGGAAATGGATTTCTTTATTTCATAATTATGTATTCTTAAAGCCATGAATGCAAAATACCTAAATTCCTATTAATCCATAAATTCCTATTAATCAAATAATATAATGAGGCAACCCAGCAGAAAAATGGCCAAAAGTCTTGAGCAGGTGGCATTTTATTTATAAAGGAAAAAATCCTAATGACCAGTAAAGGCAGGAAAAGGTGCATAGGATCTTCAGTCCCAGGGAACTACAAATTAAAGTCACAAAGTCACAGTGCAACTCCCCTCCACACCCACTGGTCTGGCAGAAATGAAGAAGCACGATTCTATAACTTGCTGGTGAGGACAGAGCTGTGGGTGTGGTGGGAACTGGTACTGCCCTTTGCAACATCAGTTTGCCCCTTTGCATGTGGGTGATTAAGATCCCAGCTCTTCCATTCTGGGAGGGAACCCAGGAGAAATGCATTCACCTGTCTCGAAGGAGACCTGGGAGGGCATTCCCAGCAGTGTTCACATAAGAACCAAAGCCTAGAAACAGATCTATGTCCGTTGGTGTCTGACTAGGTGAACACTGCGATTTGCTTGGTTCGTCCTATAGAGCAGTGAGCACTGATGAAAAGGTCCAGTGCCTTCCTCAACGGTGCTGTGTGCTAATGTCCTCCTGAGTCCACGGAGCCCCACACAGAGGCACCCCAACCACAAATCCTCCCACAACTGAGAGTCAGAAAACTCAGCTCCAGCTCTGAGGGATGCGTCCAGGGGTGACCGACCACGAAGAACAGCAGAGAGCGATGGCCACACACACAGGGCGATGGTTGCTAGCATGCGGTGGAGGGCAGGGGGGTTAATTTTGTGACTGTAGACAGGGCTGACCTGGGGAGTCCTTTTCCTGCCCTGGAAAATGTCTTCACAGGTTTTGGTTGATAATAATTCATGACGTGTATATTTATCTTTTGTGCACTTTTCTGTATGGGTGTCAATATTTCAGGAATTTAAAATGTTAAAACATGCGATGCCACTGAAAGAGATAACGCAGGCTGAATTCTCCCCACATGTACACATTTCTCTAGCGTCCTTCCCTGAGGATGTTTGTAGGGGGAATGGGACCAGATGCTTCGGAGCTGGTAGAAGGAGAAGATAGGAAAAGACATATCCCTGAGCCTGAGGGAGGGCTGGGAAGGAAAGACCTAGGGGGGATTTGGGGAACAGGAAAAATTAAGGTTTGCCTCTGGGGGTGCTCTGGAGAGCTGGAGAGAGCGGGCTGGGCATTGCGGCCCCCCACTTGGCCACGCAGAAGCGCCAGCCATGGGCTCACACTCGCCAGGGCTGAACACTGGGTTCCTCATAGCAGCCTAAGCTACAGGGGTTAAAACGACTCTTTTACAGGCAAGAAAACTTTCCAAGGTCTCTGTGCTTGGAAGTGGCAGAGCTAGGATGTAAATCTACATCTTTGTCTCCATAACCCATGTTTCTCCCCCAGATACCAAAGTATCAAAATTCTTGGGGCCTTGAATTCCTATTTACACTTGGCTGGAAGTCGGGCATAGGAGAAGGTGGGCAGAGATGGTCAAGGGCTCTGGAGAGTGGGGTGAGGTTGATGGCAAATGGTGTGGTGCCTTGGATGTGGCAAGGACAAGAAGCCAGCTCTCGGAGACGTATCCAAGTCCACTTCGCATTCTGTGCTGCCGAGAGCACTTGTTTCTTGCTCACAGTTGAGAGATGTATGTGCTTCTCAGAGCCCTGCTGATGTCAACCTGTGGGTCTGTAGATGGCTTTAGGGCAGGTGTTTCTTGCTCACATTTAGAGAAGTATGCACTCCCCTGCTGATGTCAACCTGTGGGTCTGTAGATGGCTTTAGGGCAGGTGTTTCTTGCTCACATTTAGAGAAGTATGCACTCCCCTGCTGATGTCAACCTGCAGGGTCTGTAGATGGCTTTACAGCAGGTGTTTCTTGATCGTGGTTTAGAGATGTATGCAGTCCTCAGAGCTCTGCTGATGTTGACCTGCGGGGTCTGTAGATGGCTTTACAGCAGGTGGTTCTTGATCGTGGTTTAGAGATGTATGCAGTCCTCAGAGCTCTGCTGATGTTGACCTGCGGGGTCTGTAGATGACTTTATGCTCAGGGAGTGCCTTCCTGCTCCAGTGTTCAAGGAAGGGACAGTAAAGGGCAGGGTGCGCACTACCTAACAAGTCCCTCATGTCCTTTTCCTGGGATCGGGGGCCGGCTCCACGTGTCTCCTGAGAGACAAAGTTGATTCTTATTTCTTCTGTAGGGATTTTCTTTTTGTTTCTTTCTTTACTTCCCCATCCGCCCCCACCCACACCGCCCCCGCAAAGATTTGAAGCCTAACATTGCTGGGGGCAGGATTAGAGGTTGAAAACAAAGGCCTTTTTGCCAAGAAAGGGTGTTTGCAGCCCATTCTCTAATATTTGGAAATAGTTTCAGGTTTTTAAT